TTTTTTTTTTTTTTTTTTTAAGGGTTTTATGCCATGTAACTCTTCTCTTGGGCAGAATAGCAGGAATGGAGAAAAATGTGAAAAATCAAACAACTATAATACAGTATTTGTAGATGACGCTTCGACGGTTGGTGGCAGTGAAAAAATCAAATCTTTTGAAACAATACAAAAATTTTACATGTCAAAATGAAGTCCCATGCTATTATTAGTTAATATGCATATGGCGAAGGCATAGTTTTCCTTCCTTCTTTCTTTCTTTTTATTTTTTATTTATCTCAAATAAAAAAAATAAAAAAATAAAAAATAATAACAACATTGACGCCAAGCATCAGGGAATACTAGATGATTGGTAATCTCTCCTCCAACCAAGATAAAAGATCCCAACGATCTATTGATTTTTCATTTTTTTTATTGAAAAATGAATAAGAATGAGATGTGTTAAACTTTTTATCATATTTGCATTCAGCCATTTTTTTCGCATGACTGTGTGATATGAGACCTTCCTACATGATTCAAAGTGCATTGAATTAGAATGAGATGTTTATAATCATATCTTGCAAGGGGAAGCTCGACCGTCGTGATCTTAATTGTGGTTACCGATGAATGTTGTATGCACCCAAAGCAATGTCTTTGACATTTTATTATGCCGTCACAACTTGAAAAAGAAATATGTAAGTGCATGTCAAGAGGGGAGAAGAAACAAAAGCAAGAGTTGGCGTTGCGAGCTACGAGCCTACGACTAACTTAGTCTTCTTTTGTAAATAAGTTTTCTGTGGGTGACTCTTTTCACATCTAATTTAGGTTTGTTACGGCAGTTGTTAGTTCCATCTGTTTATCAGTTAATTTGGAACTATTTATTAATTGCTATCTCATCCTTTTATTTTGGTCTTGTCAATGATTAATCTAAATATTGGTCTTTCTATTCGAGTACGTTCCTCTTTTATAGTTTGTTCCCAAACGGTTGGGATTCAAAACCAATATTATTCATATGAAAATTTTTCGATTTAAATGTTATTTAAATTTTCAATGAATGTCAATTTTAATGTTCATGAACACATATATTTTATTTGTCCACACTACCCAAAAGGTAGAGATGGCAACGGGGCGTGTTCGGGGCGGAACGCCCTCACCCCCATCTCGCCCAAACCCCGCCCCGAGGGGCGGCGGGTGGGCCAATAGGGAAGGGGCAACTTATTGCCCTATTTTTATTTTTTTTTCAAAGTTTCAAGTTATGTTATTATTAGATAAAAAAATACTAGTTCAAAATGAGTTTTTAACGGGTAAATTGTCTAGAAATAAAATTAATTTTAATCTTTTTTTAAACTTTTTCCTTCATGGGACGGGGCATCCTCCCGCCCTTTCCTGCCAATTCGTTTAAGAGGGGGTCCCATCGAGATGGAGCAGGACGAGTTTTTTTGCCATTACTACCAAAAGGTTGGGGAGGCCAACTCTAATTCTCCCTAAAGTTTAAAACACGCGCAATTAGAATTACATCACTTTTCCACTTCATTTTCTAGATTTAGACCTCTCGTTTACAGTACAGGCACCTTAAAAACCTAAACAGAATAGACTTGAAAGAAGAGCTTTAGAACATAACCATCTCAACGGGTTACTTATAACAGGCCATTTACATTGACATCCATTAAAGTCAACGGAGATTAATGATACAAATACAAGTTCAAGTTTTTCGATTAGGTTACTCGTAGCATTATTAGAACTGAACAAAACTCTCGAATCGAAAGATTTTTCTTAAGTTAAATACCCAAACGAGTATCTAAATTAAGAATCGATGAATTTGGTTAAGTTCTCGGTTCTATATTAAAAATCGAATAACAATCGAATCTCCATAATTTTTTAATTAATTCAATTTTTCTAAATAAATTTGTTAATTGGTTAATTTAGTTCAAACCAAAAAATTATAATTTTCTTATTTCTAATTTTCAGTCAAAAGCTAACTTAATTAAATTGACCTAAGTTTTATCCAAAATTGTTATACTATCGCAGTATCGTTTCTGCCGTTCTCGAGAAATCGAATTAAAGCTTGACGTCTCTCTAAATTATTTTGAACTCGCTATCTTCCTCATCCTGTGATTTTATCAATCAAATCTATGAAGAACTTAGCAAAGAGAAACATAAAAGATCCATAAGATTGGATTACGTCATTATGTAAGAGCTAAAATTGAACATATCATTAATTGAATTAATCTAACTTTATAAATATTAAAAAATTAAATTATAATACGGAACCTAAGAACCAAATGAAACCGAACCCGAACCGTTCCATAATTAAATTTGGACTCAATGACTTCACTTACTAAATATTCAAAAATTTCTGGTTCGGTTCAATTCTCGTTAGAACTGATGACCGAACCATGTCTAGCCCCAAGAATTACCACCTTCAATTTGACTACAAAGAGATTATTTACATCTGGTACATCAAAGCTCTAACCACATTCAACTTGTAAACAAAAGAGATTAACAATGCAAAGCTAAATTCATCAACTCGTGTAAGATATGTAATTGAGATAAGACTTCATTAGAATCTGACAGAAACATCCCACAATATTTTTAACAATTCAACCTTGAGAAATTTTCAAATTAGACTAAGGTACAACAAGAATAGCCGATGATACAGAAACTCCACAGCAAAGACAGTGCTCTTCCCGTGTAATTCATACACCAGGAATGCACAAAATCCTAGAAACTTATTTCTTCTTCCCAGCCTTGGCCGCATCTCCAGCCTTTGTATGCATAACAAAAGCAGATGACTTAAGAATATCATGTGATCAAAATTGCCATAAAGGTTATATTAAGACACGGCAATGTCTTCCAATCTATTTTTCTTCAAGTGCTTGAAAAGCTACTTTTTTCTTAACACACAAGTTCTTCATGAACAAGTTAGCTTTAAGGTATTTTCAATGAATTTATAACTTCAACTTAGACCAAATAGTGTGAAGAACCCTTGCATGTGTTTTCAGTTTCACAACATAATTTGCAGAATCTCTCAGAGCGACATGGCATACTCTACCTTCTTTACTCCACGGATCTTCTTAGCCCTATTCTTCCTCTCCTTCAGCTGCTTCCTAGACTTCTCAACCTTGGTATTAAGACCATTCTGCATACAAAGGTTATATATTTTAAGATTTTAGAGACAAGTAAATCAACCATCATAGAACACAGACCCAGAAATTGGGGGCAATATAAAAATATTTCACTAACGGGAAATTTTTGCTTTTTCTACACATACGTAAGGAAAAAAATATTATCGAGTTAACACACTAATAAAAGAGCTATGAGTTGGGAGAAGGCAGTAAACACTTACTAGATTAAGACTTTTAAAAGAGCTACAAGTTTGGGTGAAGGCACATGTTTCATGTCTATCTACTAAATGATGTGCAGTAAAAACAACTGCCCAGGCAACATAAACATGGTATTACAACTTACAGAGGAACCTATTAAACAAAATGATTCTATACTGTCATGAAGCTCAATTTAGTGACTTGTTATTGACCATCTCAACAATAGAAGACCGAGACACTAAAACAAAATAAGCACGTATACATATTTCAGTCCCCCACAGTCCTAGTTAAGGAAAAGCTTCGTCATAAAAAAGACAAGCCAAGAACTGCTAACAATTTGGTTCTCACTATCAATAGGTAAATTGCAAAAGGCATTTCATATGTTTCATAGAAGATTACATTAATAGTTGAATAGGGTGACAAATTACCCTGATGAGTCTATACTTTGGCTCATATTTCTTAGCATTCTCCACAGAATCATAGATCAAGCCGAAACCAGTAGATTTGCCTCCACCAAAGTGGGTCCTGAATTTGAACACAAAGATAGCATTGGGATCTTTAACCTCATACATCCTCGCCAATTTCTCCTTTAGTTCAGGCTACGGTAACAAGATAAATAGGTAAGATATAAAGCTGCATACTTCTATTCACAACAAATTCACATAACAATTGCTCACGTCCATAAAATTGAAGGGGACAAACGCTTTGGCTCAGAATTTACTGTAAAAGAAAAATATAGAGAATAAAGCTTGAATTTAGCAATAAGAGAACTTGAGACTAGTTAAAAAACATCACCATACACCAGCTTCTTTTCGTATTTTTAAACATTTATGATTACTCATTCACTCCATTTCCTATTTCCCATCATTCCATTATTGCTAGTTCACACATGGTATAGCTCTAAAATGAAAATATTTTTCTTCAATTATTTTGGTTAACAAATGAAATATTGCCAAAAATCATCACAAAATATTGTCAAAAAATCATCTCAAAAAATCATACCAGGAGAAAATATAATCTATCCTAGAAACTACACAACATATTCCTCCATGCGTCTAGAAGTTACATAAAATTGAAGGGGACAAACGCTTTGGCTCAGAATTTACTGTAAAAGAAAAATATAGAGAATAAAGCTTGAATTTAGCAATAAGAGAACTTGAGACTAGTTAAAAAACATCACCATACACCAGCTTCTTTTCGTATTTTTAAACATTTATGATTACTCATTCACTCCATTTCCTATTTCCCATCATTCCATTATTGCTAGTTCACACATGGTATAGCTCTAAAATGAAAATATTTTTCTTCAATTATTTTGGTTAACAAATGAAATATTGCCAAAAATCATCACAAAATATTGTCAAAAAATCATACCAGGAGAAAATATAATCTATCCTAGAAACTACACAACATATTCCTCCATGCGTCTAGAAGTTACGCTCTCATGGACTAAAATATTGCCAAAAATCATCACAAAATAAAATGCAATAGATTTCCATATATTGTAAAGCAGCAAACCTTG